AAGTTTGACCAAGTCTTGACTGGAAACAAAACATCTAATTCTTGCAATGTTTTTGAGATGATCGTATGCTGATTTAGTTACTGCTTTGACATGACTACTGAAACTAAGGTCTGTCTCCAGAATCACACCAAGATTCCTGACTAGCTGTGATAGGTAATTTGGTGCTTTCTCGTTATTTGACTTAGTGAGAGCATATATAATACAGGCTAAACAAGAGCGGTGCAAGAATCGAGCCTTGTCGGACTCCGCATGTCATGGATGTCCACTTAGACTTATGCTCTCCTATCCCTTGGTATTTCTAACTGACTCGATCCTAATGATCTGAGTGGTCTGTTAGATTTACTGTATATTCAGTGAGCATATCTGCTATGTATTTAGGTCCTAGGCCATTGAGTGATTTCTAAACGAGTAAAAGTACTTTAAAATCAATCCTAAAAATAACTGGAAGCCAGTGTAAGGACCTGAGGACTGGTGTGATATGCTCAGATTTTGTGCTCTGGCAGCAGTGTTCTGGATGAGCTGCAGCTGTCTAATGGTCTTCTTGTGAAGGCCGGTGGGAAGACCATTACAATAGTCCACCCTGCTGGTGATAAAGGCATGAACAAGTTTCTCCAAGTCTTGACCAAGTCTTGACTGGAAACAAAACATCTAATTCTTGCAATGTTTTTGAGATGATCGTATGCTGATTTAGTTACTGCTTTGACATGACTACTGAAACTAAGGTCTGTCTCCAGAATCACACCAAGATTCCTGACTAGCTGTGATAGGTAATTTGGTGCTTTCTCGTTATTTGACTTAGTGAGAGCATATATAATACAGGCTAAACAAGAGCGGTGCAAGAATCGAGCCTTGTCGGACTCCGCATGTCATGGATGTCCACTTAGACTTATGCTCTCCTATACTCACATAATAACCTCTCCCTTCTAAGAATGACCTGAACCATTTGAGTACCATCCCAGAAAGCCCGACCCATTTTTCCAGTCTCTCTAGTAGTATGTTATGATCGACAGTGTCAAACACAGCACTGAGATCTAGTAGTACCAGCACTGATATTTTGCCAGAATCAGAATGTAATCGAATATCATTTATTATTTTAATGAGCGCTGTCTCTGTGCTGTGATGCAGTCGGAAACCAGATTGAAAATTGTCCAGGTATCCATTTTTAAGTATTTAAAAACGTATTTAGAGTATTTAAATTGAGTTTAAGTGTAACTGGGCTGACGAGACGTGAGACGTGCAGATCCAAATGCAAAGCTTTATTTGGAGAAGACAGAGACATGGTCATAAGACAGGCAGGGTAAACAGTGGCAACCAGGAATATGGCGGGCAAGACACAAGAATAATCCTAGGGCTAGCGTGGGTCGACGATAGGCAGACAGAGTCACAGGGGCAAGGCTAAAGTGAGAAGTCCAGGAAAACAGGCGAAGATCAAAACCAAAGGAGGGAGACAGGCAGGCTAAGGCTAAGGCTAAGGCTAAGGCTAAGGCTAAGGCTAAGGCTAAGGCTAAGGCTAAGGCTAAGGCTAAGGCTAAGGCTAAGGCTAAGGCTAAGGCTAAGGCTAAGGCTAAGGCTAAGGCTAAGGCTAAGGCTAAGGCTAAGGCTAAGGCTAAGGCTAAGGCTAAGGCTAAGGCTAAGGCTAAGGCTAAGGCTAAGGCTAAGGCTAAGGCTAAGGCTAAGGCTAAGGCTAAGGCTAAGGCTAAGGCTAAGGCTAAGGCTAAGGCTAAGTAAACAGCTGTGTGCAATCCGTGTTGAGTGCAATCAGTGCAATGCATGATGGGAAATGTAGTCCGGGGTGATGTGCAACAGTGTGTAGTGCGAGAGTCAATGAAATTGGAAGTTCATGGACCGGATTCGTGACATTAAGTATTTGTTCAGCTGATTAAAAATAAATTTTTCAATAATCTTGCCTATAAAAGGAAGATTTGATATTGGTCTATAATTGCTCGTTGTTTAAGTTACTGTCTAGCTGTGGCTAGTTCCACACTGAAAGCATGAAGGCTGTCTTTATAGATGCTATAGTGAATTTCAAGTTTCGTCTTCCACCACATCCGCTCAGCTTTTCATACTCTGTACTGCTGTTGATTTTCTCCAAGCTGATATCATCAATAACATTCTTAACTTTTTAGTTAAAGGAATCAAGGAGAAGATCAACAGAGTCTGATCCAAAAAAATACCAAACTGAGGTATTTTGACTAAATGTTGTTGACTGTCTCAGAATGTGAGAAAAGGGAAGTATGAAGCCACAAATGTTACTAAAATTTCTGAATGATTTTGCAACCATCTGTTTATGGGTAATTGAATCATGTCTGGTCCACGGCCACTTTAACCAGAATTCATCAGTGCAAAATGAGTGGTGAGATGCGTAAGTGACTGGGGGTCAGTGTGAGTGATTTATCATCTGCTGTTGTCATCTCATGCCATCTCTGTGTGGCCTTTGTCTAAGTGTGATAATATTAGAGGGGGTCTTTACAATGGAGATCTTTCTGTATTTTTTACATGAAACATATATGTGATTTTATTCCATTTTAAACCAATAATGGGTTTGTCAGTCCCATGAAAATGTAAGGATAGTTTCACTACAGTGGTTCAGGTTGCTATATTGTGTGACTATCCAGACTATTGTATCGCAACATTGGAATTCCAAAAGGAAGATGGGTTTGGGACAGGAGAGCAAAAGTCTTTGTTGATATTCAACTCTACAAGTACAATTCACATACAGTCTTCCGCTCTCAGGCCTCTGACAGTCGCTGTGGGTGCTGACGTGGGTTGACGTGTGCCTTAAACAGAAAAATGACATGATAATCTTTTTTAGTGATGTGTGGCCAAGTATGGTGATACTCGGAATTTGTGCTCTGCATTTAACCCATCCAAGTGCATACACACTGTGAACACACACCCGGAGCAGTGGGCAGCCATATTGCTGCGGAGCCCGGGGAGCAGTTGGGGCTTCGGTGTCTTGCTCAAGGGCCTCTTCTCAGTCCCTGAGGTTAATTTATCAAAAAATAAAATAAATAAAATGACAGCAGAGTGAATAAGTGTTGTAGTACTTGTTTAAATCATGCTTTCAGCTGAAAATATTCAGTATAGGAACAAACAAATTCCCTAGGAACTGTCTATAACTTCCTGCTCATGTCCATAGCCGTCATAGCCTTCACAGTCTTTCTGATTTGAGTGATCCATCTCTATCAAGCTAGCTAAATATGTTTAACATGTGAATTCTTGCTAAATAGGCAGTTATATTACGGGCTGTTGGCATGAATTGTACTTGTGATGGAGCGGTGGTGGAGCGAGTGAAAACCACGATGCTCCGACTTTTAAAAATCCACTCTTCGCTCCTGTCAAAATCACACCGCTCCGCTCACATACTCTGATTGAGTAACTGTTGCTGTCATGACAGATCTATTTCAGAACCAGCCGCTATCAAAATAATCTGTCTGCGGGCGCGGGCCAGATATTATTGCTGGCGGGCCAGTTTTGGCCGCCTGTTGCCGACCACTGCATTAGGCCATGCCCCAAATTTTGGTCAAATATTTGGTAATATCAATTAATATCCACTGTTTAAACTACTTGTTTAAAAATATTTGACAGATAATGTAAATTGCAACCTTTACTCATGTTTGCTGCCTTCTTGTTGTCTGATTTGACTGTGATGCTGTTTGAATTTTAGGGTTTTTAATCAACATTGATTCCTGTCAGTGTGACATAAGTGTGATATATTTAATCAGAAGGAGACAACTGGCTGTTTGTATGAGCTTTAAAAGTTTGACGCATATCGTCAGAAAATGACTCAAGATAAAGATGGACATGTAATAGATTTTTATTTATTGGTTTCCCTGTGCTTCATCCAAAACAGTAACTCTGTCCAAAACAGGCCTATGTCTAAACATGTCATCTGTTTAATTTGATAACAATAAAGTATATATATATGGAAAATACATTTCCATTCCCCCTCCAGCAAGTGAATGACCTGTGATATAAAGAAATGATCTGCTTCCATTTGATATTGAAACAAACGCTTGCACACAGTACCGATAAATTAATTTGTTTTATTCATCAGTTCATACAAAAAAAAAAAAAACCTCTGTAATGACAAATGCGATCAGGTGCTGAGTTTGAGCTTTAATCGGGGGTTTTGTATCAATAAAGCAGTGAAACGTGGAAAGCAGCAGTGACCGGATATGAAGGACAGACAGATGTGTCGTGTGCTTCAAACTGACCAAAACAACGTCTGAATATAAACCTCCGCAACTCCCTCAGCGATGTTTCTTTCATTAAAGACACTGCCAAAGTACTTGTTAAAAACACGGATGACACATTCAAATATTTACCACAGTTAATATCAGGGGCGGATCTAGAAAATTATTTTTAGGGTGGCAAAGGGGTGGCATGGGGTCTATGAGGGGTGGCAACACCAAAGCAAGCCCCCATGCATAGTTTTTGGGGATTTATGGTCTGACATACACAGTTGTGTTCACAAATGTTGTATTACCATTAAATAATCATCCATACTGTTTAAAATGTAAAATAAATAACAACATTTCAATATCCATCATGGCACCAAGTCGCAACATATACACAACATAAAAAACTTCAACAGGTTATAAATGTTTCTGAGCTTGTATCATTAAAGAAGACATGCGGTTCTATTACAATTACATAGGCTACTTAGATGGTATAAATCACGTTTAGTGCAAGTTTAAGAGCAACAGATATTTTTGAATTTCCTGACATTAGAAAGAAATACAATAATATCAAAGCACTGAAACTGGATCAGTTTTGAAAACAATGTTTGATTTTCTGTTATTAACAGAGGTGGGAATGTCTGTAATCACCCAGAACAAACTCTATCAACCATATACTCTAGCAACACCCCAGCAACTGCATAGCAAGAGCCTAGCAACCACCCAGAATATCCTAGCAACCAACTAGCAACACTTTAGCAAACATCTAGAGCATCTAACTGACCGAACCATTTACGTTTTTAAACAAGACTTTAAGACAAGCTTTCAATCTAGTTATTACAGTTTTCCGTTTGTCTATAACAGTATACATAAATGAAATTACAGACACAGATACAGTATAATTCAGCAATTAACTTTTGGAAAAAAAAAGTTTTCATTTTACTACTGTAAAGTAATCTTGCAGTAGATGAAAAGCACTAGAAAAGTTCAAATACCAAAGAATTGCATGAACTTAGCATGCACCACAATACAGTAGCCTACAGTAAAAAATAAATGAAAAAAGTAAATTTAGCATCCTCTGCACATTTGGCCAAATTATACAGTACTATAGCAGTTTCTTGGTCTCCTGACACAAGACTAGCTATAACTCTAGGCAGTCATTTCTCAGTTCTGCAAAAATGCAGTACACATAAAAAATGGTTACAAATAAAATTTGACAGTCACACGTTTGAAGGTATACAACATGTGCTACAGTTTACTGTACATATAGAATAGTGAAATTTCCACTATCTAATGTACTGGTACTGTACTGTAATTATACTGTATGTGTAAGTATAAAACCCCTGTAGATCATGATTGGCTCAGCTCGAGCTCTCTCCGTTGTTAGCATGCAGAGATTCTGATTGGTGTCATCAGTTTTGCTACCTAATGTTTAACGTCTCAGGTTACTTATGTAACCATGGTTCCCCTTCAGGAACTCGAGCTGCGTCGAAGTCGCTTTGGGAACGCCCTTGCGTGACCGCGTTCTGATGCACGTGTCAAATCCGTCCAATGGAGCAGCGAGACGTCACCAGCGGGGTGACGCAAGCACCAGAAAGCATAAAAGCGCATCCAGCAGAGCGCAAACCAGCTTCTGCTCTTCAGTAGTGCTCTGTGTATGTGTCTGTCTATTTACTGTTTTCTGTCCGCACAAGCACTCATATATATAAAATAATGAGAAAGTCTATGGCGAGCGAATGGCATTACAAACGCTGTGTTTCTCCCTGCCCGCGATATCTGGCGGCAGGGGATACACACGATTTGTGTGTCGTTTGTTTAGGAGCGGAGCATGCACGGTCAGCTTTCGAGCAGCTGATTGTCATCACTGCGAGCTCTCGCTCCGTATGTTCCGCTCTCGCCTGGCTGTGTTTGATCAGAGCGTCCAGGCTTGCGTTCCCGCTGGCAGCGGTCCCGCTGTTGCCGAGGCACAGCGCAGACTGTTGTCGTGGGGATCGCAGGTGGATTTAGATGAGGGATCCGAGACGGGCTCGTCCTTTTCTCGGTCCTCACCCGCTAGATCCACGGCTCTCTCTCTCACGGTTCGGAAGCCCGCGCTGCGGTTTCTCCCCCCCGAGAGAGAGCCAGATGCTTCATCTATCTTCCTCTGAGGAGGTGGATGTGATGAGTGTCGTGACAGAGGAGACTGTGGACTCGCCACCACAGTCCCTCGCGTATGAGGTGTGATTCGTGATTATGGGGTGTGTTTCGCGCCAAAATAAAATATCGTTTGGCCAGCCTAGAAACAGGACGCTCGTCCTAAAAATAATTAGACGAGCATGTTCTGAATCCAGATCACAGCTTTCACGACGGGGGCCTTCCGGTTTCCCCGATCTCCATGCTCAGGTGTCAAGATCGTGGGAGAAACCGTACTCATCCCGTATTACAGCCCCACAGTCTCGAATTATTCAAAGAACATCGTGGGGCTGAATGATAAGGTATGTGGGGCGATGCCAGTGGTGGAGCAGACGCTTTCGAGCTATCTCTCCCCATCCTCAGCATCGTCCCTGAAGGCCC